TACCCAAGTCCAACATATATTATATGATCCAGAGTCATAATGTAAATCTAAATCTAGTTTTCAAGCATATATTACATGGAAAATCACCATTATGTCCTCCTTTTGAAACCTGTTTTTTTCCACATAAGTTTTTAATATCTCAATCTTTCATTTATACCATTCTCAAATTAAAACTATTTTTCTATATATATATATATATATATATATATATATATATTTGTGTAAAATTTAATTTGTCATTAAAATTAACCTTTTAACTATCCAAACATGTTTTAATATTTTGTTATCGATCACACTGCCCACCCTCATTCTTTAAATTAGCTATTAAATATTCTAAAATATAAGAAAATTCATTCAAATGATTTTCAAATAATAAACAACAAATACTTTTTTAGAGAATGAAGTAAATCTTTTTAAATTAAGATCACTCAAATTGTATAAATATTCAACAAATTGAAAGTATATAATCACATGTTATAAAAAATTAAAGTATCCATTACTACAGAAAACATGTTACAACGTACTTGAAGGCTCAGTGCTGGTTTCGTTCTTGTGGTCTACTCTTCCTATAATTTCATTTGTGATCTTATTTTGTCAATTAAATAAATTTTGTAGACTATAGTCCAATAATAATAATAATAATAATAATAACAATAACATTCATTCTTATAGCACCCTATCACGTTTGTCACATTCATTCTTTTATATATATATTTATTGGTAAGAAACTTACATACATCACTCACATATTCACTTTGTTCGTTACTTAAACCCTCGCCATTCATTCTTATATTGGAATGAGTAGTACACTAATACTATCATTAGAATTCATTCATAACATTTCTTTATTGACGATTATATAGAAAATTTTATTAAAAGATATATTTTATTTCTTACAAATTTTAAAAAAACCATCTAAATTCATTCTCTTGATACTAAGAAGTACTTTTAGGTTGTATTGATAATACTGGTGTAGTCAACCAATTATGCATTATCATATAAATTAAAGTACTCTATTTTAGTGGTTTCTATTCCTATAGGTTAGTATTTAATAAATTAATAATAGTACTATGCCACTAATAACAAAAAGAGCAATAAAATATTTCTCGAGAGCGGTTCCAAGTCTTTGCCAGAAGACTTGGACCTTGGACTTGCTTTTTTCATTGTTTGAAGAAGAAGTTGAAGATATGCATGACAAAAGAATTGTTTGTTGACCAAGACGTTGAAAAAGTAAAGTACATATATGTTAACTCTCTTTTAGGCGACTAGACATATAAGAAGCAATTTGAGGTATGTACGTTGCTGCATAACCAGTTGGCATCAATAAAACTGTTCTTCTTGAAAACTTTTCTGTGTGGGTTGTTTTTTTTTTATTTTGCCGTAATTAAAATTAAAGGGGTCTTTTAAATTGGAGATATGGGGGTGACGAACTCTTATCTTTTGTTCTATTTGTTTTTGAAAGAAAAATTTCTTGTTTTTGTTAATCTTATTTACATTGTAAGAACAAATGTCAATTAAAATTGAACACCAATTAGCATATTAGTCAATTCACAATGCAGTGTTAAAATAAAAATAAAAATAAAAAATAAAAAATTTCAATACTAAATCAGATTTAAAAAGCATACTTAATTTCAGTAAGATACCATAGCAACACAACCAAGTAAACACCTTAGAACTCTAGGAATAAGAGGATTTTTCGAAGGAGGACATCTAAAATTCTGAAATAGTTACGGCCCAAGTGATAAATGAATACTATAAAACAAAATAATATAAATATAATAAAATTGATGGACATAAAATAACTAAAATAGTATTAATAAATATAATGTAAAGTAAATAGATTTTAAGATTGGAGTTGAAGCTACAATTAGAGTACTGAAATTGAAACCACCCAATCCTAAGGGTCCGTTTGGATGGCGATAACGTTACATGTTATAGTTTGGTATGATATGAAAACAATCGTTTTGGTGTTGGTATATTTTTAGTAGAAATCGGATCCATGTTTGGTAACGATTGTTTTGTTTTTGATAATTATATATCAGAAACATGATAACGCGTTTGATATTGTCATGAGTTTTAAGGAATCTGAAAACAAAACACGTTTAGCAAGTTAGTTTGGTTATCAAAAATTCTATATCTGCATAAACATGATTAATTGTACGTTTGGATGAATAAATTTACATATATAGTGACAACCAAACTACAAATCTTAAACTTTGTATAATGAATAAATCTGCATAAACATGATTAATGGCAACCAAATTACAAATCTAACTTTGTAATAATCTTTTAATGAGAGCAGATTTTTGCACTCCATTTATCTTTTTCTTTTGGCTTGCATTCCATTTAACTTTATTTTATTTCATATATATATATATATAAATTCATGATGAATGTGTGAGAGAGAGAGAGATCCTTATAGTTGAAACTAACAAGAAATAAAGCCAAAACGTTGATCTTCTTGAATTGGTCAGAGTTGAGAGTTGGTGGACATCGAAGCTTGTGAATAGTTTTACTTCACTTAAATTAGTTTGAAATTTTGTAGTGGGGGTCCTTCAAATTGGTAATATTTTTTTTGTTTAGTCATGAGACCATTTCCCCTTTTCTTAAGTATTTATTTTGATAACCGACTTGTGAATATTTCATACAATATCCAACCATAAGCAGAATTAATAAATATGAATAATCATATGGGAGTGTCTTTCCTTTATGATGAGGGTCTGAAGGCTCAGGAAACTGAAGTTCTTTTCGCTGAGATGGCTAGACATTCCTTAAAAATAGTATGTTTGTACACACACACTTCATTACAGTTACATAAAATGTACACACAACTGGAGATCACTAATATTCATTCCATAAAATGTACACCCATTTCTTTATACTTGCATAGGCCTCCATTTGATTAACTTAGAGATCACTAGCTTCTTGGAGTTGCAGCGACTGGAGAATGTTTCCTATCAATCCCACTGGTGCCACTGCCTACAACTTACTGCTATGTCCTTCAATGTAGTAACAAAAAATGAATTTGAATGTAAAACAAGACATTACCTATAATAGCAAAATATAAAGCAAAGTTAAATTATAAATTTTTTTTATTTTATTTTTAAAAAACCCGGCATGATTTTCCCTTAAAAATGAACATTTCTAAAATTTCAAAACACAATAAATACAAGGGACACCGCCCACAAAATTCATTTAACAAGGGACACTGCCCACAAAATTCATTTAACAAGGGACATCGCCCACAAAATTATTTCAACAAGAGACACCGCCTACAAAATTCATTTAACAAGGGACACCGCCCACAAAATTCAATTAACCAGGGACACCGTTCACAAATTTAATTCAAGCAAGATATATATAACCTTCTTTCAGGCTAAGCTACAAATTTAGAGTGTAAATGACCTCATGCAAAACAAAACACATGAATAACATTAAAGAAAAACAAAATAACACACGATATGAATGAAATGATTAGAAGTAGTAAACAAAATATATCTAACCTTTTTTCAGGCTAAGCTGCAAATTTGGAGTGTAAATGACCTCATGCAAAACAAAACACATGAACAACATTAGATAAAAACAAAATAACACACGGTAGGAATGAAATAATTAGAAGTAGTAAACCAGATATATCTAACCTTTTTTCAGGCTTAGTTGTAAATTTAAAGTGTAAATGACCTCATGCAAAACAAAACACATGAACAACATTAGATAAAAACAAAATAACACATAACACACGGTAGGAATGAAATAATTAGAAATACTAACCTTGTACAATTGAACCCATCTTTCAGCTTCTAACTCAATCATCCCAGTTTCACTGTTGTACCCTACACCAGTCTTAGATAATATTTGTTTGCAATCTTTGTACAGTGCTCTTATATTATTGAATTTCTGTCTACATTGGTCCTTCGTGTACTTCTTTCCAGTTTCCGATAACATTGCGTCCATAATATGTGTCCACCCATTTGGATTAAAAGTCGTGCCTGTACGATTTCTTTTTCCAACCTCTTCCTCCATCAAGAGCATGAATTTCTCTTGATGGGCATCACACCAAACAGCGACATCGGCCTATTCAATAACTACAATATCCTCACCATTCTCACCATTAAAAGAATGAATGTCTCTTGATGGGTATTGCTCAACATTGGAATTGCTCATGTCCATCTAATTATTATTAAAGTAATTGAATAGTTTACTAAATTGTTTATATCATATTAATTTTAATGATCAAATTCAATGGTACTACATTACATAAGAATTTAAAATTCAATGGTACTACATTCAATTATGTTTTGACTCATAATTCAACACGTCAATGATAAGTAAAGAAGGTACTGTCTATGAAACACTTCAATCCAACTCAGAAATGTTCCTCCTAATACATTGTTATGGTGTACAGTAATTATGGAGTATAATAGAAGACTACTTCAATTGTGTACAGAAATGTTCCCCTTAATTCAACAAGGGACACCGCCCACAAAATTCATTCAATCAATTCAATGGTTTCGCCTTTTGGTATGGCCACTACAGTGTTGAAAACACCCAATATCACCAATTTGGTGATATGGGTTTTGGCCCAAATCTGAAAATGATATGGACCTGTTCAAAAACATATCAGCCCACACCAAACGAGATATGGGCCCAAAACCGAAACCAAAACACCAAAACCAAAAACATTTTGGCCTTCCGAACAGGCCCTAAGTGATTACAATGTACCACCACGATCAATCAAACAGGAAAGTGTGTCTCAATGTAACGATGGATACAAGAGTGTTTACCCCACAAATCATACCAAGACGTGACAGGACCGCATGGTACATCACCAAGATTCTTAAATATGTTCTCCTTAATGTTGTAGGAAATGATCATATAATTCTTCTCGGTGCGAACAAGTACTAAAAACACTTCCCCTTCATCTTCACTATGGATTAAACTAAGCTCTGTATCCTTTTGGACAACCACTAATGCAAGATCAACAACCATCGTCCTCGTGTTTACGCAAACTCGATACTTGGTTGTCCACTTGGAGTAATCACTTTCCATCTCCCAGATGTTGACATTGGATCCCATATCATAATATCTAATATATGCAAATGACCTCCAGACTCCCCAAAATGCTGGCATTTACAACCTGCATCGTAGTTATATGGTGGAGATGGCATTGGGCAAAATCTTTCTTGATTGACATCCAAGTAAAAGGAAATTTTGTCTGCGCGGTAAGAAATCCAATGGATAGAACCATTGCAATAGACTCCTTCACTCAAGTCCAATGGATGAAAATCATCGTAGTTATTTAATGATTTCGGGGAAGGATGAAAATCACCAACCAGTGGTGATCTCCGCCAGTCATTGGTATCCGACGAATAAATATATATTTGATACAAGTAGGGATTACCATGATCTGAAGCCTGAACCAAAACAACTTTGTAATGAAGTGATTTTAAAGGATCGAAAACCAAATATGCATTGTTATCATCAAGGTCAGTGAAAGTGACCGGAAAAGGCCACAGAAGAGTAGAGAATTGCTTGGTAGTAGGATTATAAACGTGGTACGACTGTCTCCAATCGGAACTACAGCTCTGCTTCTTATAAAAAGAGACGAGTAGAAAACCATTACGAGAGTCTATGATTCTAGCAGGTGAATTATTTTCTTCTCCATCATTAATAACGGTTGCAATATCATCACATTGATTCCTCAAGACGTCGGAATGAGTGAGAGGAATGTATTTGATGGTTTCAGTTTGGGATCTAGGGTTGAAGAAAAGGCCGGAGACTTTGGGATGATGATGTTGCCAGAGGAAGCAAGGAGTGGAGATGAGAGAGAACCATGCTTTAGAGACTGACTTGAACCGAATGAGGGTTTTCGCCGGCAGACGCTGAAGGATCTTCGCCGCCAGGTCGTTTTTGCCGCCGATGATTTTAGCAGTAGTGGTGGAAGCCATTCAATCAAACTTTTTCGTCCCTCTCTTAGGATTTGAATCTTGTGACAGCGAAATCAAATCCTAATAAAAGACTTAATAGTTTTAATGCTCGTACCTTACAAGTATTTATAATAAATAAAATTTTAGTTTTTTTTTTTTCAAAAAAAATTAGTTATTTAGTTATTAGGAAACCTAAGAAGTTGAGAAAATTTATAACATAAGGAAAAAAAATAAAAAAATAAAAAATAATAACTACCTAATATTAAACTTGCTATAAAAATTATATATAAATAAACAAGAAACCTAAATAATTAAATCTAGTGTTAAATACAATAAAATTTTGCGTAACATCAAGAAAGTAATGTTAATAAGTAAGAACATAACTTCTTTCCAAAAATATTTAATCACATTCTACATTTATCTACCTCACTAATTTTCTTATTTATTACTGTACTTTTATAATTTTTTAAATATTTGTAATTTATTTGTCAAAGCCCTTATTAATTATTGAGAGTAGTAACATTTTGCGTGCCTCACATATTCAATTAACACTCAGTAGTAAACCTCTTTCATTTTCATTGTTTCCATACTCTCTCACTCTCTCACTGTATACATATATTTATATAGCTGAAAGTTCCATTCTTCAGCCATGGCAACCACAAAGCCCCATGCAGCCCTCCTCGCCACCCCAGCCTCGGCCACCTCATCCCCGTCCTCGAGCTTTCCAACCGTCTCTTCACCCACCACAACTTTGATGTCACCGTCTTCACCATTTCAATGTAAACTTTAATTAATTTGTGTCAAGCATTAATCACAACTTTATATGAATCTCATATTTTAGAAATTCATAATTTCACATATCTATAATGCATAAATAAATAGTTAGATATAAATACATCGATCTGTAATTGTAAACCTCAAAGAGATCAAGGCAAATGTCAAAATCCTTTCTGCGGAACGAACAACATGTTAAACTGCAATATTCAAATGGTGGAAACCAATTTCTCTCTCTTGGCCTTTTGCACACATAAATATTATACGTGTTGTTTTCATTAGCGTACATAATTGATGGGAATATTCACTTTTATAAAGGCAGAAAGATGACCAGTTTTCCTTTTTAGTAACCTTAATTCCACTCTCTATCAAAGTAAAGAATAAATAAGAAAACACTTCTCCAATAATTAATTACCATGAAGGTAATTTATAAGTTGATCAAATAATATTATTTTGATCCGATATCTATTTACTTAACCACTAATTAATGAAATATATCACATATCCAAATCATGTGGGTCACACAATTAATAAATAATCTTACATTCTCCCACTTGACGCATATGATAACTTTTGTAGTGGTTTAGTAAAATAGTCATTAGTGTGCACCATAAATCAGATTGAATCATTAAGTTGGTCATCATAAATACCGTGGTAAATAAACTACCCATGTGAATTATGGCGGTTATATGTTCTTAAATGACACAGTCCCTTCCATATACCACAACACTAGTAATCTATTCCACATAGTCTATAAATGAGAGTATCAATAATGATCTAACAATAATGTATTTTCCAAAATTATTCTTATTACCATTTTTTAAAATAATATATACATGTACATTAATTAATAGGAAATATCAGAAACACATTTAATCAGCGCAAAATGTCAAATATATATAAACACTGTTAAGCAATTCACAATTAAAAAATAATCATCATTGACTACATTCAAGACCCATTCTTTCAACATGTTTCATAAATATTTTGGGTGGTAGTCCATTCGTTAATGGATTGAAATCATAAATTGTGTGTTTATATGTTCAATAAACATTCGTTATTTTTAAACATCTTCTTTAATGATAAAGTATTTCAACTTTAAAGTACCTGTCATTTTTCATACAAGAAGATCAACAATTGCATCATAAATTTTCAGCAACCTGAAAATAGTACCTATAACTCCAAGTCCTGAAATAAATTCTGCAACCATAAATTGTAACCTCAAAGCATGCTACAAATTAAAAGTTCATAATAGACAAAGTAATAATAAATTACTTTGTACTTTTTCATAATATTGTTCCTCCAGCCAAATCTTCTAGAACTCTTTTAATATATGCTTTATGAGACAATACTAAAAAATCCACGAGATATATCATGAAATATTTTTAATCCTATCATGTAGGATGCCTCATCCATATATTTCATTTCAAAGTTCTTAGAGATAACTTTTAGTTTCTTATAATAAATTAAGATCATTACTAGCAAACAAAATATCATTAATATATAAAATCAGAAATATAAACTTACTCCCACTAAACTTCTGGTATATACACTGATCAAAAGTGTTTTCCTTAAAATCAAAAGAAATACTAGTATCATTAAACTTAATATACCATTGTTAGGAAGCTTGTTTAAATCCATATATTAGCATCTTAAGTTTACAGACCATGAATTCTTTACCCTCTAATATGAAGCCTTTAAGTTATTCCATATGGATTTCCTCTTCTAAACTCTCATTCGTAAGAGTTGCATTGACATCTATTTGATGTAACTCTAAATCATAATAAGTTACTAATGCCATTATATTTTAAGGGAATCCTTCTTAAGTACTATAAAAAAGGTTTCTTTGTAATCTCTTCATTCATGGCACTAATCCATTTATTAAAATTATTATTGTCAATGATTTGTGAATATGTAACCGGATCCTTATATATTTCACTATCAAAATCAGATTCTTACAGATATATCACATAGTCATCCAGAATAACAGATTTCCTTTCTTTTTGAGATCTTCTTAATGTTATTCCTCTGTGGTTCTTCTATAACCGATTCATTGGTGACAATCTCATCATGGAGTTGTTGATCATTCAATTATTATTCGTTGTTATATAGTTCAACAACTGAAGGAACAATTATTTCCTTATAAGTTATGCGTAAATGAATTTATACCAACTTTTTGAATGATCACATTCTTATTTTTATCACTCCCACTGACTTCACTATTCTCAATGAATCTGACATTACCGGTTTCAATAATTATCGTACTATATTTAGGATAGTAAAACTTGTACCCTTTAGATTACTTAACATCCATAACATTATGGGTAACGAGGAATTACTTAACATACTCCTAACCATATTCATAAGAGTACGATTATGCCTTTCAGCTACACGTTTCTGTTATAGCATGCCTGACATAGTGTATTGAGCACAAATGCCATGCATTTCAAGGAGTTTAGCAAACGGTTAGAATATTAACCTGTTTCATCATACTTTCCATAATACTCACCACCTCTATATGACCTTATGATTTCCACTTTTCTATCTAGTTGTTTTTCAACCTCATTTATGTATACTTCAAGAGTACCCATTGATTGAGATTTTTCATGCAACAAATAGATATATTCATAACATGAAAAATTAACTATAAAGGCGATAAAATATTTTTCTCTACCAAAAGACAGAACATTATAAGGTCCATAAATGTCTGTATGAATAATTTCAAGAAGCTCTGTATTTCTTGTGGCTTATTTCTTTGTGTGTTTGGTTTGTTTACCCTTAATACAATTCATACGCACACCAAAATCCGTAAATTTTAGATACAAAAGAATCACATCCTTTATTAATTTTCCTAACCTTTCACTGAATATTATCTAGTCTTTTATATCACAAGATAAATAAATTTTCATTAATTGAGCTACATTTAATTCTAAAATTATGATGCAAGGTCAAAAGGGTTTTAATAAATAAACTATCAAGTTTGAATTTACAGAAATCATCAACAATAATACCATAACTCACAAATTAGAATTTCTTGAATAAATATCATTATCAAACTTAAAGGAAAAATCATTAACATAAATTTTTGAAATAAAATCAAATTGAGATAAATTGAAGAACTATAAAGAGTTTAAAATAATTTAAATAAAATTCATTGTTTAAGACTAAACAAAATGTCTCAATGGTTTTAACAAAACTTTTTTCCAATCCTCATAAATAGAAAATTCTCATTTAAATTTGTGGTTTAGGTCATACGTAATCCTTGTATCTACTAGAAACATAAATATTAGTACTTAAGTCAACCTATCATGTAATAGAAAAAATTTCAATAAGTAATTCGAAATATACATAAACCAAATGCTTACTATTACATTATTACATTCCTTTCTTTTAGTAGATTAACCTAAATCTTTTAATTTTTGGGATTGTTCATTTAATGCCCTTTCTTGCTTATTCCTAAATTTCTTTCTAGCTTCTTGAGTCATGAGATGAACATAATGATTACTTGCTGCTTAAGCCTTCTCTTCTCCTAAATTAACATAATGGTCAATTTTTTCACTTTCCACTTGCCTTAATAGTGTTAATTCGAAATGACCCATACTGAGTAGACAAAAATTGAGAATAAATTGAATAAGAAAATTCTCATTCACAATCATTCATAAGGTTCTCAATTTGGTAGCAACATTAGTCATCTTAAGAACATACCCATACATGGTAAGAGTACCAACAAAAATGCATAATAGTGATACAAATTAATAATTTTCATTTTAGATATTTATCTATAATACGAAATCATTTTCTAGTCAAATATTCCTTACCACTATCACTATGGGGAACAATTATTCACATAACCATAGTGCTTAATCTATTCGATCTCTTCCAAACTTTATGAAGTATCTTTTCTTGCTCACTGTCTTTATCAGTAATAACAGTAAGTGTCTCAATTTAAAATGTTAAATCAAGATTTAGCACAATTAAGTTTTGAACTTAACTTACTCATTCAATTATGAGAAGTTAGTTCTATTGAGAATCAGAACAAATGTACCATGCGAATTAAGGGATGTAATAAAACAAACATAATAAGATAAAATACTCACAACAATAATGCTTTGAGTTAACAACACGTATGTATAACTTAAAAATATAAATACAATATATAACTATAATACCTCTTTGGGTGGCAACTATAAAATACTAATAATGATGCTTATATGTATTTATACGTATACCTTTATTGGTGATACATT